AAAAAAAAAAAAAAAAAAAAAGGAAAAAAAGAGATCTATAAATGAGAGTGTCTCGGCCTCGTGTTCCTTCAAAATGTCATTTATTTATTCAACTTTCTTTTTCCCATTCAAACCATTCCTTTGTTTATTCCCCTGCCTCTTCCACACTCCCAACTTTCATTCAAATTCAATTCTCTCTCTCTCTCTCTATATGTATGTATGTATATATATAAACCGACAACTTTGTGATTCTAAGAACATACATAAAACAAACCAGACAGCAAAACCAATCTCTTGGATTCCTCTTTCAGGTGGGTTCTGCTTCTGCGTACATTTCTGCCAGAAAATGTGTGCGGTGATAGAGAAGTCGTCGGGGGAAGCGTTGTCGTCGCCGGAGACGAAGAAGGCTAACAGGGGGTTTCGGTCGGAGAAGAATGCCGGGAAGTTGAAGCTGCAGCCAACTAGGAATTTGGATTCCGGCCACCCGCCTGGAATTCCACTCCCTAAAACGAGGAACTCCGTGGTGGTGTCTCCGGCGCCAGCCGGACATCAGTTTGATGCAGCCGCCGTCAAATTGCAGAAAGTTTACAAAAGTTACCGAACGAGACGGAATCTCGCCGATTGTGCTGTTGTCGTTGAAGAATTATGGTAATAAAACAAACCCCACAATTTTTTTTCCTAATAAAAATGAATGATAATTTTTATCTTTTGATGGGGTTTTCAGGTGGAAGGCGTTGGATTTCGCCGCTCTACGGCGGAGTTCAGTGTCGTTTTTTGACTCCGACAAGGCGGAAACCGCCGTGTCGAAATGGTCAAGGGCCGGAGCAAGAGCTGCAAAGGTACTTTATTTTATTTCATTCATTTGATGTTGATAGTTAATCGTTCTTTAGTTTGATTTTTTCTTCTGTCAAATTTTGGACCACCTTTGTTCTTCACATACATTCATATCTTTCGCTCTTACACAGTTTTCTTGAACTAAAGATCTGTTTTTGGTTGTGGGTTTTATATTTTTTAGGTGAATAATTTGAATGGGCTTTGATTTTTCATTTTTCTTTAACTTTACGTTGACTTTTTGTAATAAGTCAATTATTATCCGTCATCAACAATGTATACCCGTCAATTCAGGCTATATTCATCAACAATGTATACCCGTCAATTCAGGCTATATTCAAACATATTGATCCATAATATATGTCATTATCGATCAAAATTTAAAAAAAAAAATTAGCGTGGAGCGGTATCTGAACTAAACTTGTTTGGTTGCAGGTGGGTAAAGGGTTATCAAAGAATGAGAAAGCTCAGAAATTGGCTTTGAGACATTGGCTTGAAGCTGTAAGTCTCTTGAAAGCTTCCATAATTGGAATGTCTTTTATTTGTTATTAATTTAAAATTCCTAATTATTTTAATATAATAAATGGAATAATTTAATTATACAGCAAAACTTGGACGTTACCAGTGGGCATTATATTTTTAAATAAAGAAGAGAAATGAATTTAATAAATCTTGGGCGTTCAAATGAAACAGATCGATCCACGTCATCGCTACGGGCACAATCTCCACATGTACTATAATGTTTGGTTCCAAAGTCAAAGCTCGCAGCCTTTCTTTTATTGGTAAGTAATAACAAACAATTATCTAAGTTGGATTAAATATATGCGTTTTACTAATTACCATTTCTTCAATTTTAAATAAAGGTTGGACATCGGAGATGGAAAAGAGTTGAATCTCGAAAAATGTTCTAGAACAATTCTCCAACGACAGTGTATTCAATATCTAGGACCAGTAAGTATAATAAGAATAATAATAATAATTAATTATTAATCTTTTTAATAAGTTGAGTTTCGACAGCAAACTTAGAATTAAAGTATAATAATTTTAATATGAACTCGGGTTATTTGGTTTTGGTGGCGTAGAATCAAAGGGAGGCTTACGAGGTGGTAGCGAAGGAAGGGAAGCTTGTATACAAACAAAGTGGCAATTTCGTAAATACGGCGAATGACTCCAAATGGATATTTGTTCTTAGTGCTTCAAGAAATCTGTATGTGGGGAAGAAGGTGAAAGGCCATTTTCAACACTCCAGCTTTCTTGCTGGAGCAGTCACCACAGCTTCTGGCAGATTGGTAGCTGACAGTGGCATTCTCAGGGTAATTTATTTATTTATTTATTTATTTAAATGCATAATTTTTAATTAATGGGTTTTGGAAATTTGATTTTTTTTTGTTTTTTTTGTTTCAGGCTATATGGCCTTATAGTGGCCATTATCATCCCACGGAAGAAAATTTCATTGAGTTCACTGAGTTCTTGAAGGAGAACAATGTTGACCTAACAAACGTTAAGGTATAAACTTTGTTTTTTAAGGTTAAATTATTGGTATAATACATGAATTTGTTTGAAAAAAAACACTAATTTAGTTTTGGGACAATGCAGAGATGTGCAACAGACGAGGACGTGCCACCCAATGACAAAGAGAAGGGAGAAACCGATGAAACCACAGAGGAGGAGAAGGAAGTGACAGGGGGCGGTGCCACCACCGAGAAAGCTGCAGCGTCGTCGGGAGAAGCGGCGGAAATGGAACGGCACTGCAATGTGGTTCAACGCAGAAGCAAGTGGACCACAGGCGCCGGTCCTCGAATAGGCTGCGTAAGAGAATATCCAACACAGCTTCAATTTCAGGCATTGGAAAAGCTGAATCTCTCGCCAAGAATCACATCTGTTCAACAGGCATTCAACTCCAACTTGCCAATTCCATCACCAAGGCCTAGCCCTAGAATCCATATGTCCCCTAGGCTCGCTTGCATGGTGCTCTCGAGTCCTCGAACGTCACAATACTAGTTGTGTCGAGTTCATGAGATTATTCAATGACGTGTATTCTGTTGCAGGTAGAAGAGGAGAATTCATTTCATAGTTTTAGAGGGCAGCCATGATTGAATAACTTTTAGTTTTTAGTTACAAATATTTAATTCATTTCAATTTTTCTTTTCTTGATTTCTTATATTATGTTGACTTATGATGCACGATTAGAGGTGACATGCAAGACAAAGAGGTGACATGCAAAACAAAGAAAATTTGTCGGGTACTTACACCCTCCTATCTATAATTTTCAAGAATTACTAAAAATAAAATCTTTATTGAATGAGACCTAAATGATTTTAGTCTTACAATGACTTAAATCAATTACCATGTTTCATAGCCAAGCAATGAAAAAAATTTAAAATAAAAGGAAAACTGGTTTTTTAATGCACGATAATCATAACAACAGAGAGGTTTATACAGACTGTGAGTAGCTTGTCTGAAGTTAATAGAAAAAAGTAGCATAACCTACAAAACATGGATGTTGATGTTGGCAGGCTAATTCAACTACACCCGACTTTGAGACGCATATTATGCTGTTATTCTTGATCGCCCCTTCGCGATCCTTCGAGCAATCACCTTCCGCCCACCCTTGGTTGCTTTGCTGCTCAGAGAAGAAAAAAGATTTTAACCATTTTAAAATTACTCCCAAACATGCTTATCGAGCCATTGTTCATGGGCAAGCACAGTGAAATTTAGCTGATTAAGGCAACCTAAGTTTAGGAATGGCGAAAGACATGCTTCAAAGTGATTTTGAATACAACAAAAGTGATTTTGAATACAACAAAAGAGATTTTGACCATTTCAAAGTTATTCCCGACCGTGTTCTAAGATTCCTATTTATAACAACTACCAACTTAACCATCAAGCTCTACCGAGCATGTTTAACCAAAGTATAACAGTATTTGCAGATTGTGAGTTCTCCCTTGTGAAAACACTATATATAAAAAAAATATATATATATACATGCAAGGCAATGGGGAGATACCGGGCAAAAAATCCATGATTCCTCTTCCGCCTGATGGTGCTAGGTTGAAAAGTCCTTTTAGGAAATAAGAGCATTGGTTCTTGAGTGGTAGAATTATCTCCTGCGCAAACAAAAAAAAGATTAGTGCCTAATGACAGCTTAAATTATCATCTGAGCCATGAAAATTGCTATCTCTATCCATGAATCATAACTCGGACAGCCTGCCACAGAAAGGTCAAAATATTAACTAACTACTTAAAACAAGTTTTCCTTTATTCAGGATTGCTCAACTTGCAGGGCACAACATTGGGAATGCTAAAGGAAAGTTCTTTTACGAAGGCTGAAACTCAAGCTTAAAATAGTCACAGTATTGCCTGCCCTCTCTTGTTGCCAGATCCCCCCAAAGAAACACCCAGTGAACCAACCTCCTAATTACCATATTCCCCTACTACCTAATCCTATCATTGAACTCTGCCATAAAACACACCTTAAGAACAAGGTGTGGATAAAGAGCCTTTGATTGCTCTCTCAGGTTAAATGAGCTTCTACAAAATAGCTAGAAAGGCCATTTCCCACAAAGCTTCTCACAAAGGAGATGAAGCCAACACCTCCTCAACCATTGAATGACAACAACTATTATTAGCCGAGGAAACACTGAAGTTGTCCAGAAAAAAGCCCCAAATCAAGGTGGCAAAGTTAAGTTTCCAAGGTGTTAGACGAACACGACTCTCCACAGTGATATGATATTGTCCACTTTGAGCATAAACGAACACGACTCTCCACAATGATATGATATTGTCCACTTTGAGCATAAACTCTAGTGGCTTTGCTTTGGGTTTCCCCAAAAGGCCTCATATCAATGGAGTTAGTATTACTCACTTATAAACTCATGATCATTCCCTAAATGAGCCGAGGTACAAAAACACATCACTCGGAGCCCAACAGCATGGAGGAGGCCCTCTAGATAGAATGAATGGTGCTAATCCTCCCATTCAAATACCCAAAAAGAAGGAAAAGAAAAGAAAAATTAGGACGCAACAGAAATCGCATACACTACGAATTAACTCTAAAGATCAGTTCAAGCGGAACAGGCAAAAACAGCATACCATCGGGTAAGAAGAACCGGAGCGAAGGAAGACCAAATGGGAAGAAGATGCCTTCAGATTCGAGCTTCCTCACCGATTCGGTATCATTCTGCTGCAAATGCTGAGCAGTCTGATGCTTAGAGAGTGAAGGAAACAGCATCGGAGTGACTTCAGCGCCGTGGCCATGAGACAAAGTTTGGGAATACCAAATCCTGCTAGTCTGATGCGCGGAATTCAATCGCAACCGATTGATCAAGGAATTTCCCGTCCGAACCAGAAGTGTGGACGCCATTACCAAATGAAGGAGCTGAATAAACCCTAGAGATGATCAGAAGAGGATTCTTCTTCCACTCTTGGTTTTTAAAAAGTGCTGGTCCGGTCAAGGTTCGGCTTTCTCTGAAATCTTCGATTCGGTTTATTTTCTAAATCGACAAAAAATTAAAGGTCATATTTATAAATTTAGTGGCTAAATATGCAAAATTTTAATTTTTCATGTCTATTTAATTATCTTTTCTTAGTTTTCTTTATATTTCATCTCATGTATCACTAATATACTATTATTATGCCGATTAATACTTGGTAATAAGATCATTATCATTGCTCCTATTGCTTCCAGCTCAAGAAGATTCAAGACAATGGAGGAGGGCTTTGGGAAAAAAAAAAAAAAAAATTATAAATGAGAAACAATTTCCTTAACAAGATTCATGCATCTTAATTTCTGTCTATTTTGAGTTCTTTCATCAAATCTTACTATCAACGTTTGCATTTCAATGTAATACATGGCCTGGTCTGCCCCGGCGAAAGCTTTTTATAGCACACCTAAAAGTTAGGATCAAGATATTTCAACTATTATCAGTTGTATGCTGAACACAAAGAAGATATAATGCAAAATGTTGTAGACTCGGAAGATAGATAAACAAACAAAACCCCCCAAACATCTAACTGTTGATTGATAAATAAAAGAACAGAAACAATGTGATGTGATTGGTGGCTATTTTAATTTTTTTAATTTTTTTTTAAATCTACTAAATCAAATTCATGGGATGAGGAAAAAAGTCATTCAACTAAAAGAAATTAACTCCTCCCCATACCAGGCGAGCGACACCCCCTTCCCCTCCCCTCCCCTCCCAACATTGTGTCTATATTTCCAATCATTTTCCTTGTCAGTTCAGTTCAAAGCAATGCGTCCGAAGAGCTTAGAAGAATCCAATACAAAGCAGTAAAACTGCATAGCAGCATCCGAGGGACTGTTTAATACTCGCGCCCCTTGTATGGCATTTCCTGTTGGTACAAATAGAAAAAAAATCCTCAAAATCTGTATAAGGCCAGCAGGATGAATGGAAACGAGATACAAACACAACACTCAACACTTTTATTTGGTCTTGAACTTGTGACACATTTGATCTCCAATTTTCAAATTTGATTTTTAATTTGTTCCTTAAGTTTGAAATTGGTTTTTATTTGATGCCCAAGTAACTTATTTAAGAAACGCATACCATCAATCCACGTTTAACTCCCACATCATCGGTTCATTAGCTCAACTAACATCAACTCTACCAAGGATCACTTAGAAACCAATTTCAAATCTGAAGGAATAATTATAAATCAAATTCAAACATCCAACACCCATAATGTCACTTTTGAAGCCTCAAATGACCAAGTAGAAACTCAATTCCAATCTCAAAGACCAGAAGGGATAGGTTTGTAAATCCAAGTTCAAGTCTTGGGACCAAAAGTGTATTTTACCTCATGCTCTAAAAGGCAGAAATAAAACCAAATAATCTAGAAGCAAAATCTAAAAGGCAACAATAAAACCAAAAGGTATCAAGACAATCAATGGACCCTTACAGGTTGGTAGCCCAGCATGTACATGGCAGGCCTGGGGTGACCAAGAAGCATGGGTTGTGCATACTGCATTCAAAAGAACAAAAATTGTAATGTACAGCAACTTTGCCTTTGAAAAAAAGAGATTAAGAAAGTCATAACTTCATATTTCGGTAACCATACTTGAGGTCCATTTGGCTGTACATATGCATGTGGTGACTGCATTGGCGCAACCATTGGGTTAAGTACAACAGGCTGATGACCTGCAAATGAAGGTCCAATCTGCAAAACCATGAAAAGTTGGGAACTATTACAGAAGAAGTGCATCAATCATAAATCTTCACACCATCGGAAAAGGGTCAAGATCCATAAGATCTAGACGAAGTAGCAGATTCTAGCAGATATGACAGATCAACAGCTAATAAAAAGGCTTTCATATAAATGCAAATACAATTATATTTAATATATGCTAATTTTTCAAGAGAAACAACAGAAGAAGACAATATATACATGTACTTACACCAACACCATAAGGCATCCCATGCATATGGGGTACTGCAGGCATGTTGCTCTGGTAGTAGAAGGAACCATCAGGTGCTGGTGAAGGTGGCCTAACAGGTGCTTGAGATGGGGTGAAACTCTTTGCATTAGGATTGAATTTGAATTCCTATTCACAATAGTAGGCAAAACATAAAAGAAGAGACGAACATATTAGTTTTTAGCTGCAACGAACTATAAAACTTCATGGTTGTCATGGTTANAAAAAATCAAATAATTAATAATGAACTAATTGAATAATTAATTATAAGTACAAACAAATGGATATAGTATTAATTTAACGAATTATTTTTTTTAATAAATATCTGTAATTACATTAATTCAAGATTAAATTAGTTTAGTCCTATAATTTAAAAAACGTTAAAATTAAATTAGTTTAGTCCTATAATTTTAATAAACTACGAGTATATAAATGAGGGACAATATCGTCATTTGTGTAAGACTTTTATGGGTGGAACGGAAATAAAAAAATTAAAGTAGACAATATCATATTATCGTGAAAATTATGTGAACGTTCTTTTGAAACAAATGTATAATCCAAATAAACAAAAATTTTAGTGTTCGAGTTAAAATTGATATTTAGTTTGACTTTATCATTATTACGAACACTTCAAAATTATATTTTTTTAAGAGCGATGATTTCAATAAATAAAATCATTGATAAATTTGACTTTTGATTCCATCTCGTGATAGTTACGAACGCTTCAAAAGTCATGTTAGAGAACCGACATTATCCCGACTCATCGGATACGAAGATATCAAATGGGCTATATTAAACTGGCGAACAAAAAAAAAAAAAAACCTCTAAAGGTACAAATGTACTTGATTAATGCATTCTAAACAAAGGAATTAATTAAACACTACTTTTAATACGTAGAAAAACAACGGGGAAAAAGGCAAACAACCTTTAAAATAATAAAAGTTTATTTTCAAAGATTCTTTACATTTTCTTTGTTTTATTATTTAATTGCTAGTTGGGTTTTAACAAACCCAGCAAAAAAAAAAAAAAAAAAAAATCAGAAATACCTTAGCATGAGGATTAAGGGTTGACTTTTCAGAGGATAGTGATCCTATTGATGAGCTAGGAGATAACACAGGACCACTGGAAGTACCAGCAGCACCATCAGAATTCAGTGATCTGGAACTACCAGGTCGTCCAGTAGGGTTCAACACTTGAACTTCTCCACGAGATTTTCCAGATTCTGGATCATCAGATAGTGCAGGAGGATTTAGCTTCTCATTATGCTTTGATGAAGCACAAGATGGAGCACGCAAGGCAACATCAGACAATGTCCCTTCATCAGGTCCATCTTTCTTTAATGGCTGCAAATCTATTGTTTCCATCACCAAATTGCAATTAGCAGCAAGTATTAACAAGTCGAAAAAAGTCAAACTTCTTGGTAAATTTAGGGAACAATCCGCATGTTGAATGTGATAAGCAATGTAACGCATAGACCAGCAAGAGAAAATTACCCAGAAAAAAAAATGGAAATGGAAAATACAATTTTTTTCTAGATAGATTGACTATGGCCAGCTACTAGCATGTGATACATGTCACTTTAACTCGTCAAATCAAAATAATAACAGCATTCTAATAAGGTATAAGCTAGGAATTATACAGAAAATGGCTCACCGTCACATTTTGCAAATTGAGAGTCATTAGCTGCCTGCTGCAATAATAGAAAAATGGAACCAGTAAATCCTAAAAAACTATACAGCAAGCAGCAAAGCAGATTCTACAAAGACTATTTTAAAACCTTACCCTGTCCTTTTCCACAGACTCCTCTGCATCATTCTCCCCATGCTGTTTGTCTTGGATCCTATATTTCAGATGGTCAAACCAGAAATTCAACCACAATAATGAATCATGGCGTCTAAAAGTATCATTCAATACTGAGACGGTAAATCCATTTTCCTCCTAAAAATACTGTAGTATTGTAAAAGTAAAAACCTGCTTTCAATTTCCAAAGTAGGCCAACTTTTGCACGATGTTTCAGATGCCAGCTGTCTGGCATGATTAATGGGAGTAGATCTGGATAGATCTACACCAATATTTGTCTGAAAGGGTTGTGCTTGATTCTGCAAACCAGGACAAGTTAGCCTTCATTCATCTCTAGAGACAAGAAAAGATTATAAAACATCTACAAGAAAATCTATTTTCAAGTTAACTGCTTACAGCAGAATATAAACCAAGCAGGATAAATAACCAAACAAACTATCCACAACACCAACTTGAGACAACTTATCAAATTTTGAGTTTTACTAATCATAGAAATACAGAACGTTATGTAAGGGCGAAGTTATAGTAAACCTAAATTGTCCAGATAACGGAATGAGTTCTTGGAATTTGAAGTGTTTATGCTGACATTATTATATATTTACTTTTTTAAAAAAATAAAAACTAATAACTTGAGCTAGGTAAAATTATATATCAAGATATTCCAAGCCTTCATCCAGTTTTTTTTTTTAAAAAAAAAAAAAATTGAAAAACTGGTCAGATAAGCCTAAATAGTAATAATAAGATGCTTAGGCTTGAAGATATGAGATGACATAATTTCCATAGGGAAGAGTATAAATATTGTAATATGCTCAGAACTCAAGGACACATTTATACAACCTATAAAACAGATCCTGTTCCAGTCAGGTCGTTAATTATTGTAATATTTTCCTTCATATATTTGAGAATAGAAAAAAAAAAAGAATTGAGCCGTGGATCATTAAAAGTTAATCTTCATGCATTCAACCACAGATTTTTGGAATGATTATCCATTGGAGGTATGGATACATGTTCCAGAAAAATGTAAAACAGACTAGGTTAACAGATTAAAACAGCCACCACTATTTTCCAAAAGATATTTGATCAAGATACTGAAGAATTGAAATCACAAGGAGATTATAATAAAAGCTAATTGAAGAAATACCAATGATGAAGAGCTTGAGACAGAAGCTACATCACTGCATTTTCCAGAGAATGTGCCTGCAAACATAATGTCAGAGCCAGAAGACCCCCCAAAGGTTTCCATATTACGTGAATTGAATGATATTTCTTCATTTTCATCATATCCACTATCATCAGCCACCTTCCCACGAACAACAGAAGAGAATCTAGTTTCCTCATCAATATCAAACTTATCGTGGAGGTCAATGCCTCTTTCCTGTTTAAACACAATAGAAGGCAAAATATTGAGTTCCAGAAAAGTTTACTCAAATTCTATGCCCGAGAAATGCAATCAGATGTCAAAAACTACCTTACCTCTGCTAAATGAAGATCTTCAGTGTCCTCACCCTCTATTTCTCTAGCTATCCTTGAAGCTTCCTTTTCCAACTCTCTTGTTTGAGGGCCCCTCTCAAGCCTTGTGGTATAAAGTTCTTCATCAAAAGTGCTTTTGACTCCAAAAAGTTTTTCATTAGCTTCAAACTGATCCCAACTTCTAAAACAAGCAACAGCATGAAGCACATTTAAAATTATATATAAGAATGAAACAAAAGTAATGTAAAAACCTTACAAGAAACATATACAGAAGTTATATTAACTGCTTCAGGAACTGACGTTCCATATCTAATAAGACACCCCTGTAAGAATATAAGATTACCTGCAATTATACCCTTGGAGATTCATTGCTAAATTCTTAGCAACCAATGAGAACAATCACATAAATAAACAAAATACACCTCAGACATGAGCTATAGACACCCATCCATCATCAAAAGCTTAAAATTTAAAAATATAGAAATTCATGAAGATAAATATGCCTTCAACTCAAGCCCATAAAATGCATTTAATTTTTGCATCCAACTTTTTCTACTATTTTTTTTTTCTGCCAATAATGACATTGTTTTGTGAAAAAATATTTGTTTTAAAGATACGTAGACGAACAAGCTGTAGCTGATAGGTCCAAACGTTCACAAAATTATTGTACTAGATCAATTACTTGATGATGGATATAAAAAGAAAATGACACCACCATTCAACACTAATAATAACACTTCACAAGTTCTACCCATTTTTTTTTTTTGTAATAATAGTTTTTAAATTAAAAACAGAAAGGACGAAGTAGTTCATAAAGAGATAATTTACATAAAAGAGTGGGAGACTACATAAATTATCTAACAAAAAAAAAAAAAAAATCACTAGAAAGATATACCAGCGTACCCTCGCTTGCTAGAAAGTGAAAATTCGGAAAATTCCCAAAATGAAGCCCTAAGAAACTATGCACCGAGCTCAATTCCATGTAGACATCATACCAGGAGCACAATCCAAGAGATAAGCCAACTCTCTTCAACCCTATGCCAAATAAATGGCAAAAGCCCAATAACCCAAAAGGAAATTTGATCTTAATGATAAATATGGGCCTCAGCTAAAAGATATGAAGGGACAATGGCAGAGCTATGATCAAGATCCTTCCACACAACATTACACAAATAAGGCAGGAGGAAACTTGCTTCCAGAATGAGATCATTGAAATTAATCTTCCCACACCACCAACGAATCAAGAAAATGATAAAGCTGAAGTGCACTTTAGCTCTCAACGTTTGATTGCAAAAGTGGAGCAAGAACCATATAAGGAAGAAGAAAACTCAAGGTCTCAGGAATCCTAAAATGAGCTGTGCAAAAGAAGCACTCCATAGAATCTGAGTCTATAATCTCTTACACTACAGGGTACCATTGGGATTAAAACTCCTCAACACATAGAATATAAAATATCCCAACTTCAGGAATAAACAATGCTGTGTATTTATGTAATATGGACGTAGTTATGAAATAAAATGACTAGCATGGTTCCAGTTTGGGCCTAAATGAACAAAAGTAAATCAACTTGATAGAAAAATAAGTAAATGCGGGGAATGAATGGGTTGCAATCACATTACAGGGGAACTCCACATGAATAGATAATTTCCAAAAGAAAAGATAAGTAAACAAGGTCTCAGGGAAGTGCATAATAACCTATTCCATGGACAATCAAAGATGCTATCCAGTTCAGGAAATTGAGGACTGTCATCATCAGGTATCCATGGTTTCAATTCTCTTTCTGCTTCAACGTGACAAGAATGTGAAATAAAAGAGTCTATCAAAAGTTCCTGATTTTCATTATGAACTTCATTTGACAGTCCATCCTTTGTAACAGTCACGTCCTGGAATCAATTGTTTTGCATAACGTTCAGATTATTCAAGACAGAAAAAAAAATGGATAAGAGAAACCACACATTAATAGTCAATTTTCATGGCCATCAGTTACTAACATAATATTCCATCGAAATACTATAAAAGAAATCACACAACCGCATGATATTATCACAAAAGTGGAACAAAAGATTAAGACTCTTGCAAAAGCTGAACCTTGGCTATAACTTGCACCAGTTCTTTAGCTGGTATTACCAAAGTCCTGGAAGGTGCCTGAATCAAAGAGTCTCCAATGGGTTTCTGCCCCCGAGAAGAAGTATCCTTTGTCAAGTGTGCCATTTTTAATATAATTCCTGAAAATAAGGTTCAAATAAACACTGCTGGAGGCACCAAACCATAAAATTACAGATGATGATAAAAAAATGGTTACAAAGCTGCTCGTCAAATGCATTGGTTGAGAACATACCAAAATCTTTTTCAGCATTGGTTGAATGGAATATTCCACTGTACATAGATCCATTTTTAACCTGAACGTCTACATGTTGCCCAACAAAACATGTTGTTAAATACACTAATCTATCACCAGAGGAAGTCCCAAAACTTTCGTCTTTGCTGCCAGCCAGTGCTCCTGTATAAACAAATATTAGAGAGAGGAATATCAAGTAGAACACATTTTCTTAAAAAATAAATAAATAAATGAACTCTTAAATGAAACTCACTTGCATTAGTTAATCGGCTGGGATTCGACTTTCCTGGCTGAAATTTATTCACAAACTTAGCTGCTACATCCCTATCACCTCTACGACGTCCAAAACCATTAGCAGAAAGCTTGGAATGTATGGATTGTTGTAGATTCATATCAGTAGCAATCCAGAACCTATTGAGTGAAGGACAAAATTTATGGGGTCATTTTTCTGCCAAAATCATTAATGTGTTTGAATTAATATCATGCTTCCTATGCATAAGTAACACGCGGAATATTCTGGAAGATCATTAGCCCTTGGAAATTATTGAAACAAACTACCAGCACCACTATGATTTTCTAGTGCCATATTGAGAAGGGGCAGACAAAAATCATCTGGTTAAGCTCTAGAAAAATAGTAGAATTCTTATGGAATTGAAGGAAATTCAGGGACTGAATTAAATTTGTGACATGTCCTCGGTGTACAAAAAAAAAAAAAAAAAAAAAAA